GGCCACTACCTCGCCCGACTGCCTTTGTCACCCCAGTAGTGATGTTTACACACCGCACCAGATACTGTACTCATTTGAGGCTGAGTCAACCAAGGGGAGGCCGAGGACTGGTTCAGATAATCGTCACTGGTGTTGGTCGTGAGCGGGAAATCGTACTTGGATGGCCGGGTTTGTAGCACAGTGCGCTAACCGCTGCACACGCACAATCAAACCTTAATATGTGCACCTCTAGCTTGCGTTAGCAAATAACGCAACCGTCAAGGGTATTGTTTCATATACTCTTTATTTAACATATAGAGAACGGAGCAAATGCATTCTATTGCTATGAATTCCACGATACACGGGCTTGAGATGGACAATACCTGTGTTTTAAAGCTGTGATTTATATTCAAAATATAATTTTAGTGCACAAGAAATGAACGACTTTATATGTATCCGTAGCGAGTCTCGCATTAAGTAACTCTCCTCTTGTATTCTGCAGCGGTCACTTCGTCTTAAGCACTTGACCCGGAGCAAGCTCCACTCGAATTCCGCGAGAAAACGAAAAGCAACCTCACTCTCGTCACTTGTTCTTCCGTAGTTTTTGTTTTTTATCGAGCACGATCGCATTCATGCAACTTCCCAAGTACAGATCCCCCCCAAATCATATTGCAAACGTCCACTGCCTACAGCCAAGACGCGGTGCTGCCTCGCACTTCCAAACAGAAACGGGTTTTTTGTTTGCAATTCCAGCTCCCAATAGAGGCAACCCCACGACCAACCACCACCACCACCAACACCACCACCAACACCACCACCCCCCTGCGCGTACAGAACGGGGACAATTACACAAGGAACACTAGAGCAGGCGGTGATTTCTTTAAGATTCAGGGCGAAACGCCCATCGGCAAAATTGAGCGCAACGGAGGTCTAGTGGCCGGGAAGATTTAACAATAAATAACAGAAGACGCCACTTGAAACGGAGGGATAACGGCTCAAAGGGAACCCGCCACATTTGTGCGCTCAATAATCATGCGACCGGAGGTGAAAGTCAAGGAAATTTATTTTAACTTGTGCGTTTAGGATTCCTGCGCTGTTATGTGTTCACCGTTTAAAGCACAGGGGGGGGGGGGGGGGGGGGGGGTCCATGTGTCGATTACCTCACTAAAAACATCAATGGAAATTTACACTCTTGAGGCAAAAAAAAACCCCATTATATTTCCCAAAGCCTCGACCACCAATCTCAACAGCATTGCAGGATTGCATCTTTGTAACGCTCTTCTTTGCATGGATACGCAGCAATCATTTGTAGAGAAAATGTGGCATTCCCGATCAGTGGGGTAACTATACACGGGATCACGCCGAATCGTGCCACATCCATTGATGGCATTGGCCAAGCGCCCCCTGCGAGACTTCCCAGATAAACAAATGAATGAACATTGTTGTTTTTTTTATTATTAGCATTATTATCACTACTACTGCTTGGACGGATATTCATTTTGTTCAAGCTTTACACAGTGTTGTTTGATTTGCATCCCACTTGGATTTTTTGCACACAGCGTTGGTGTACGCTGTTTTTTCAGGAATATTTTGCTGTTTTTTTTATCTCGAGCTTCTGTTTGCACAGTCACACAAAGTCACTTTAAGATGTTTTTCTTGTTCGTGTTTTTGTTTTATGTTTGTTTGTTGCGGTTGCACCCGATTCAAGAGCCGAATGGCTCACGGGGCTATACCAAAATAAATGAAACTGAAATGAAACTGAAAGTACAATGTACTGGCTGCCATAATGTGATATTATGTGCACGAATAATTATTTTGTGCAACGTTTATTTTGGGAATTTTAGAACATTTTTTTGCACGGGGTAGTTGTAAATAGCAATAACAAGTAACTTTCCAGCCTCAATTTTGTCTCTCCGCTGAGTCATGAGAATTGCAACTGCTCACACATTCCAGGATTATCCCCGCATAGTCTGCCTCTTTTTACACTCTGAATAAATAAATACATCAATATAAACAATAGAATAGGTAAACATATAACCACACGTTTAGTCACATACTGATACAAAATATTACCGATATAACTTCTACACCGTAATAATCAATGTAACACAGTACACGTGTATTCGTATTTTTTTTGTAATATATTCCATCGTTTGAGAAAGGTGAGATTTTTTTGTTTATCTTGTGCATATGAGAAATGTACTAATGAACGGAACATTTCTAACATCCATGTGCCATGAGCATTTGCCGAAGGTAAAGGCGCAGCCCTGCAACTACCGGCCCACGCCACTTCTGCTGGAACGGCCTCCACTGAAGGGACCTCAAGAGAGATAATCCGAGAGAATATTTTCGCCTCCTCTTCCACACTGGGGCGGATGTCTTTGTAAGGGGTGGGAATACCAACACTTTACCCCACCACACGCAAACGTCGCCAGTCGACTAACTGCGGTGATGCCATGGGTACCGCTGGGTAGACAGTGAGCGAGGTGGAATTCAAAAACACGTCCCATCATTTCAATTGGCACGCCGGGAGACTGGACCGAATCAGCGGCTTCTGGGATGGAAGTTTTCTGATGTGCTCAAGAGCCACACCACGCCAGCATCCCTGAAGCATTGTATCGAATATTTAAGCGGCATTTAGTGTAGTGTTCAATACATCAGCAGTGCTGGGATTAACTAACCTTGGCTATTGGCTCATGTGTCTGAAAAGTACCCAAATGCCAGGTGAGTTAGGGATTCAGACTATAATTGTGTACGCGTGTGTAAGCCAAAAAGATGCCAAAATATAAATGGCAAAAAATAAATAATGATGGGATGCAGAATATGCTTAAGCTTTATGTAGCGTGCATGTGGGTTTATGTACATGCCTGGATGAATTTACGTGTGATGGGTGTGTATAATGCCAACACTTTAAATATAAAAAATAGAATGAGAGGGCCTAAAAAAAGGTTAACACTTATATGGAAAAATAACGGATAATACACACTAACATGATAACAAATGTATGTTAATAACTTCAAAAACTCAAAGAGTCTCGCCATCATTGTCAACACGTGCCTGGAATCTTCTCCAGGTGGTCTCTAGAGTCCGGAGGCAGCAGCACATTTTTTGTGGTATTGTTGGAAATTCTCCCAAGTGTTAATATTTTTTTGAAGCACCCTGTATAGTATATTTATCTGATATGTGTGTAGTGGTAATGATCCAGGAATGAAATTGCTCCTGACATAGACTGGTGAGCAATCGGGGCGTGATGAAAACAGTCGTGGATGCTGAGTGTAGATTCATCTTTAACTGGAGCGAAAATGAAAGCTTCTATTCCCATTACAAAATAAAAAATTATATTTTATGAAAATAAGAATGATTATCTAATAAAAAATAAAAACAATATTTTCCATAAACAAAACAAATGAGTATATTTAGCAGCAAATTGTAGGACTGTCGTTGGTGGACTTTGTGACGAATAAAATAGTAGGCAATTGTAATAGGCAATTACACCAATATAGAACTACAATAATAACACAACCACCTTCGTGTTATGCATATTCGATTAATGTCACCAACCCTGCCGCTATAGTTGCTGCGGTACAGCCATGCACCGCCATTCCTGCAGCTACCCAAGTCAACAACCCACCTCGCTCTCGATGATTTGTGTAGGTAAGAGAGGACTTAACCACACGTTGATTTAATCGATTAATATTAATATCAGGGCGCTCCTCTTTCTCTCCCTCAGAGTAATTCCAAGCGTGCATCTCTCCACGCTTTTTGTGGTGAAGCAATTACGGTTTTTGTTCCATTGTCTTTGTCAATGTCTGTTTCTAATCCAAAGGTCAAATCAAGTGATACATACATATGTAGCTAAAAAATAAACGTTCCCTTTTAGGCACATTGGTACGTTGCTTTTCATTCTTAACTTCAGTTTTCCAAAAACCTGCTGTCATCTGCCTCTATATTTTTTCTGAATTGTTAACCCGGATCGCCTTCCCACAGCTGCCCGAGGTACACAGCAACTCTGCTGTGTTTTGCAGTTTTTACCCCTCCAACGGAGACCTCCAATCGTGCACTAAGTTGTACACGACTTCTCTTCACTCATTTATCCTGGGGCCCAACGTTGCAGCCTTCGGTTTTTGCCGCGTATTTCTGTAAGTGCGGCAAAAACGATCACTGGCTTTGTACCTTTTTTTTTTACATGGGGATTATGGGTAACGCAAAAATATTTTTTTAACAACTCTATTACCGACTGTATGAATGTTTAAAGGTCATTAGGACCACTGCTGTTGATGTAAACCACACGAGGCCATTACTTCCTTCTGCTGGATCCCACAGCTGACGCTTGACCTCGATACTCTGCGCTTCAAGTCTCATCTGGCATTTACATTTTGGTCACTGACCTCTGGGCGCCCCTCCAATGCCTGTCTTGGTAACCCTACCACCTCCACTCTGCACACATACTCCACATATGACTTCTTGACCTCTTCCTGATTACATTTGCAAGTTACTCCTGGCCCATTCTAAACTGAACTAAATCTTTTTTTTATTTTACCAGGTATGGCCCACTCATCTATGAAGCTTTTTTTCAGAAGTGACCTGGCCACATATGATAGCTCAACGAAGTGACTTATCACGTGGACATTTATATCAGCCAAATACTCTAAATGCACGCTTCTAAATAGGAAAACCCGGATGACCCGAATAAAAATCCACGTGACCACAGGGAGAACATGCAAACTCCAAATATGCAGGCGCCAGGGTCGAGATCAAACCCACGACCTCCTGCATACCAGGCGAGGTAGTAAACATCTCACCACCGCGATGCCCACAGTGGCGCCAAACCTCCGAGCCGCTCACCCTGTCCTGCCACAAAGTTCTGAGCACCCTCCCCCATGCACCTGCACCCCGTGAAGGCCAGAAGCTTCCTGCCTACCTTTGCCTATCACAAAGTCCACCAGTGTCCGTGTTGTAGTTCTTTGTGAGAGGGCACGCGTGTGCCTCCCCCCCCCCCCTCACCAACCCCCCCACCCCCCCGTGCAGACGCTGGCACCACACGTTCCCTACACGCCATAGTGCTTGTTGAGCCGGTGCAGAGCATCGCTGACCGTGTCCAGCTCGGCCCGCAGCTCCTTCACCATCTCGGCGATCATCCTGGTGTCCTTGAGCACCTCAATGCTCTGCGTGTATGGGTTGTAGCGCACCGTGAAGTTCCGTTTAATGGTCTTGGCGAACTCCCTGTGGGCAGGAGAAGATGCCATCGACACATCAGTGAGTGGTGTACCACCTACCTTGAACGACACTGTTGCAGGGAACGAAGCAACTTTGCATGTAGGTTCCATGGCCAATACTAGCGGTCACATTTCATTCTCGGGTTGAGGCCATGCGATGATCTAACGACGCTTTGCACAGTTTCAAGTGAAATGTCGTCGGTAATTGATCAATTTCATTGTGATGATTTGTTCTTCAGCTTACCGATCAACCGAAACGATGATAGTTGGCAGAGTAAACAATTGCCCATGTGACAAATTTAATTTATTTGGCTATGTTTGGTGTAAGAGGGATTCGTGAATCACGTAACGTTGTGTTTTAGAATAAAAAGTTGTTGACTTAGCACAATTGGTGTGCGTATAATTGTTAAAGCACAACGCTATCGTGAAGGTGCGATATCTCACAGACAGCTATAGTCTGCCAGCAGGAAGCGGTGTTGCCATGTAGTTTTATCCAATTTAGTCGTGTACTGGATAATGTTAAAATTTGGACCACGACAGTGGCAATGCATGGTGCGCTATTTTTTACAAACTTGACGGGGTCTTCAACATCCGGTGGGAAACAGACGGGGCAGTATTAATCAGAGCGGCCACTGGGTTTGAACCATGAACCTCGGCAAAAAGTGGCATACGCCCTACCGCTCGGCCATGTGACGGAACTATTTCTGTCGTGTGTTTTACCGTGAGCAATCTATATATATTGTATTTCTCGTTATGTATAAATTAACCTTGTGGCGGTACCCTGGGGTACCATAGTACCCCGGCTCTCGTGTAATGTCCGTGATGCAGTCACTTTTAGTCTGTTGATGGTCGGCGATGCGGCAATCGACTCATCTCGACAAGCTGTACACGATGCACCACTACGGTGCGTGTGAGCATTCAGGGTTTCGGCGCAATCGTCCTAGCTGGGATTCGACATGGCAGATTAGCACTGGTTTCGGATTGATCGATACCGCAGTCGCGGGGTTGAATACACCCCTGGAAGAAATAGTCCCAGAAATAACATATTTAATTGCCTCGGCCATTTTGTATTAGTTGGTACCGCAGGGTACCGCCAAAAGGATCCAATATGAGCTGGTGTGGTCAATAGGGACATTTTTGGCCTCATTAAAGGATTTCAGCAGAAGGACACGATGACATTATTATGTAATTTCCAATTAGGGAATGTAATACGAAAAAGTAAATGTACCTTAATAGCTTTTAGAGCCTTCATTCAATCGGTATGTCCTAGAGATAATAGAGGTGAGGTACTGACTGAAAGAAATTATCGTCTTGCAATCATAACATATTTAGAGAATAAATTGCACGGCCATCAACTCTGTATATACGGGGTGAATAATTTATAGGTACCTCACTAAAATAATTAAGATAAATTGTTTGAAAGCCTCTACATGCCTCCCACCAATTTCATACACACATTCAACATTTAAATTTTCCGCGGGACAATTAGTCCAACATTTTGATTTGTTTCATACCATTCAGTTACCGGTTGCAAAATAAGAGGGTCACTAGACATCAGTGGGGAGTCTATTAATGGGCCACCCTGTACGTTGACTATCCTCTACTTACAGTGCTTTTTATTGGAAGGCCCGCGGGACCACTGGTGGCCTTTAGTGCGGCCCCTGATATGCAGCCACCGACAATACACAACGAGTGACAGCACCCCCATGCAGACGGCGTGGAGGCCCTCACACTGATGATGTCTTATCGGCGAAAGTGCCCCCCCCCCCCCCCCTCTCTGAAAATGAGTGAAGAACACAGCTCGATTAGACTGTTAACACATTATCCTCACAATGTCGCGTGACCCCAGTGGCACAGATGGCACGCTTCTTCTCACCTCATTTTTTCCTTCGCCTCCTCAAAGCTCTCGGAGACGAAGTAAATGTCCTGGAAGGTGGTGATGAGACACTCCTGCTTGCACGTCACCTTCGGGTCGAAGCCCTTCACCTTTGCATTCTCGGAGAGCGCGTGCTGGAAGAAGCACGTACGTGCGGTGAGGCCTCGCTTAACGCGCGGTGTTCACACAAGGGAACGCTTTTCTCACAACTCCGAAGGTGCCCATTATAACGCGGAACGCGCCCGTAATAATAACGGCGCGGTTTTTTGAACGGTCCACTTTCTTGAGCTGCACGGCTGAGCGGTACAATATAGTATGCGGAATGATACGGTACATGGAATGATACGGTACGTGGAATGATACGGTACGCGAAATGATACAGTACGCGGAATTATACAGTACGCGGAATGATACAGTACGCGGAATTATACAGTACGCGGCAGCATACCCTCATCACATTTCTTTGTCCCGGCAGGCTGAGTTTACAGTACAGATGTGATTCCTCACTTAACGTGGATTTTCGCTGAATGCGAAACTTTTCAGGAACGCATCTACCGCGTTAAACGAGGCATTGCTTTAAAGCGGTGCACCCAGAGAGCACAGCGGGGTGAGCTGTGAGGCAAGCCTCACGGAGGAGTGGTGAGCGACGAGATTGTGAGAATGATAAGGGCGTTCGGCAAGTGATCAGTTGACCCGTTAATCATTGCACAAGTTCAGTGAACACTGCATATTCCAGAGCAGTGGCGGTACGGGTGGTTTAGCGCTACGCCGATTAAGATGTGAGCGTACCTTCAGCTCGCTGATGGAGGAGAGCAGGCCAGCCCCGTAGGCTCTCAGCTGGCCATCTTGTTTGCAGAGCCCAAACTCCACAGTGAAGAAGTAACACTGCAGAGCGTGCAGGGCAAGCGAACGTGATTACTCCGACGACAAAGTCACAAGAAGGGCCACTTTTATTTGAAGTTTAACGCAATAAGGAACCCTACTAACGACTTTCACAATGAGAGACCCGAGGCTTAATCCTCGACTTCCTGCTTGTATCTTCCTCCGAGCATCCCCACTCCTCGTGCTCTCCCCTTATATATGTCCCTCAGCCCCCTTTCTCGAACCTTCTTGTCCCTGTTTTTACCTCTAGCCAATCCCTGTCCTTTCCCTTGCACTGATCCTTTCTGTTTTCCCGTTAAATCCCCTTATTCTCCAATCCCTTTAAAGTGTGCCTCCCGACCAATCACCATGGAGGCCTCTTTCTTCCAATCGAAGACCGTTGTTTATTTTTAAATAGCCGTTAGGCTGCATATGGCTTGGGGCCATTTGTCGGTCATTACAATAACAACAAATCAATCGCAGCCCTTTTGTCATTCCATTGCTGGATGAAGACCCTCCGACATCCGTGTCAGGTTGGTTGACCGTACTTCAACACTCCCGTCAGGTGAGAGGACAGATTCGGATAAGTTCAGATATTGGTTCGCTGCTGGAGTTGGCTGTGGACTGGAATCAAACTTAGACTAGTGGGTTCATAGTGTGGTGCGCTAAGCACTGTTGTGCCACAGCACCTCAGCCAAGACAAGCAAGCAAGAGTTAACGTTACCATCCACAGGAAGGATTTTTTTTACAAATTATTTTCTTAAGCATAGATTGAAACAAATTTAGAGGCTAATTTCTTAAAACATAAACCATAAACGAGTGGTCGTCAAAATAGAGAGTGAATGACAAATCTATCATCACCACCACAACTACAACCATTGTCATTATCGTGACCACCACTACCACCCAAATCATCACCACCACCATAATGAAAGCAAATTAACAAACTTCCTCGAAGCACACATCATATAAATCCGTAATAAATTACCCCATTCTGCTGTAATGTGCACTGGTGCCTACTTAATTGAGGGCGATATTGACACGTAATAAAAACGATTGATTGAATATAATGTAAACAAATATGTGCATGCTTTTTCACAGCCCTTCGTTAATTCAACGTGTAGGCAACTGCGGTCCTTGAGAATGCACGACAGTCCAACCTTCTTTGTCAGCCAATCAACGAGGGCATATGAAGTGAGCGCACAGGGAATGGGAGTTGAACTTCTGCCAAAACCCACGAGAGATAGACGAGGGCCCCGTCCTTGCCAGGCTGACTAAATAAACACTGCTCCTCCATTATGAAGTCTGCTCTCAAGTCCAGTCAGGGGCGACCTGTAGAATATTCAATGCATGTTGAACTTCTTTCGCGCCGTACGTAACCAACTAATCGAAGGTGCGGCGGAAGGACAGTTCTAAACGTAATGAGCTTTCAACTTAGATTTAAAAGTGCACAGCTCCGGTGGCTTCCTAATATCGAAAGGAAGAGCGTTCCAGACAGCCGCAGAAGCGCATCTGAAAGCGCGCGATGCGGTCACTGTCTTTGATCGATGGGGAGCCAAGAGCAGAGCTGCAAGGATCACCGTGGCTTCCTAATGTGAGTCTCAAGATGTGGGTTACACTCCGTCATTGATTGGTTTAGTCGCGGCTAAAATCCCAAATGTTGTCGTCGGCTGTACATTGCAAATTTGTGGCCAGCTAACACGTTTGGTCATCCCCAGTGCGCAGACATCTCTAACGGCGTTTCTCCGACAATCTTCATTCGCGCTCGTTTGTTTCATCTCATCACAGTCATCGTCGTGCTCGATCATTTTCGTCCGCTCAAAAAATGCACAAAACACTTTGTCGACTCATATTTGTGTCACTTCATTTCGTCAACAATACTGTAGCCTGCGCGCTGCTGGTGCTGCTGGCGCTGGGCAGTGGAGCACTGACAGCCATTACCGTGGCAAGCTTCTGCACGGCTTCGTCTGAGGCACCGAGCGAGGCGAGGCCGATCTCCTGGGAGAACTGCGCGAAGCTCGGCTCGGCCAGCAGTGGCACGTGGCCCAGCAGCTCGTGGCACGTGTCCCTGGCGAGAAAGGCACGCGGCGCCAGTGTTGGGATTGAGGAATGCACGACCATAGATACACGACGGGTTTTCACGTTCGCACGTATGAGCATATGCTGTTTATGTGTGTGTGTGTGAGCGTTTGCGTGTGGGGGAGCGTTAATGTGGCGGTTAGCGCGCCACGAAATGAACCTGGCTAGCCGAGGTCAATTCCCGTTCAAGGCCGCAAACATCGGTGATGATTATCTGAAACGATCTTGGGCCTCCCCTAGGTCGACTCAGCGTGGTGTGTAAAAATTGCCGGCCTTCATAGACGCTAGCTAACGGTACTTGCCCCAACAGTCTGTTAAGGCTATACGAGGATCTTTGTCATCGTGTATAGACGACCTATCAGGGTTGACAAGTGTCCTGGTATTTCCAGGAATGTCCTTGCTTTTAGTTTCAAATGACTCGCAAAAACATGTGAAAAGCAAACGGCCTAGGTGCATTATGTAAAAAAACAAACCACCAGCATGTCCTGAACAAGTGCACTGTGGTTCTTATCTCAGGCACAATCAAAATAAATTTGAGTAAATGTGACTGACAGGCACAATTAATCCGCCCTGCGCTAAATTATTCTGCCTTCATAGTTTTCTCTCGCCATTGGCAGATTTCGCCTCTTTATTTGCGGTAGGAAAAAATCTGAAAGTCTTCCCAGGACATTACTGTTCATGTAGCTCTCTTCCCTTTTTCCCTCTCTCATTCTCCTTCTGACGACATGTCCCGGTTTTTTTTTTCTTGAACCTCGGGGGCGACGATCGATGACAACAATCCCGAATCGGACACGAGCGTGACTCACGGCTCCGGGGTGTAGAGCGGATCGGAGCTGTGCCGCACGTACTGCGTGCAGTGAAACACGCGGAATGCCAGCCCGGCCAGGAAATCACGCGGAGACAGATACCCGGCCACCGGCCGGATAGTGAACCCAGAGCGCTCTGCGTTCACACAAAAGACAAAAGACAGATATTGCACCGCATAGCCTTAACAGGCTTTCGGGACAAGCAAACTATTGAAACAATTTATTTCATTTTACCAGGTAAGGTGCGACTGAATTGTATACCTCTTTTTCAGAAGCAAACTGGCCACATGTCTATAGCTCAATGAACTGGCTTAACATGTTGAAAATGTATAGCAGCCAAATAATCGAAGCGCATGTTTCTAGAAAAACCAAAGGACCTGAAGAAAAATCAATGCGACCACGGGGAGAACGTGCACACTCAAAATATACAGGCGTCAGGGTCGGCATTGTACCGATGGCCTCCTGCGTGCTGTTAGCGAGCACCTATGAAGGCCAGCACGGCACACGAGGGGGTGGGTGGCCAGCACCACGCTCGGCCGCCTTTGTCTCCCTTTTAGCATTGATTAGACACCGCACCAGGTACTCATTTGAGGCTGAGTCGACCTAGGGGGAGGCTCAGAAACCGTTGACATTCACAAAGTGGCACTCGCTTTATAACCTCAAACAAGATTGACTGAGTCAAACCCCTTAACCGAGACTTCTCACACTCTAACCCCAGCACCAACCTGCCAATTAACTTGCCAATTAAGGAACTGCAAAGTTCACGGACACCGCAGAATAATCACGCGGCAACGCTCGCCGGTAATCGTCGAAGGCAACGGTCGGCAAACGCGGGGGTGGTCACGCCGTCGGATGGTTCACGCTGACTCGCCGTGCGATTGGGAATTCAGACATCCAAACCTGTCATCTCCTTATCACTGCCTACATTATTTCAGACCAATTCAGACCTTAGTGGTCACCCCGTGCCCCTTATAAATCTCAACGTTCATCCTTCAAATTCCCATCGCAAAGGGAAAAAACGCAAACAAATACGGAAAAAAGTGTTGCCCGTATTGAAACGGCTGTACGCCGTATGGACCTGAAATCTCAATTTCCCTGTACAAGAATACGGGGTAAACCGTATGAGTTGACAGCTATGGACATCTGCGGGAGCGCCCAGGGAGTAGTCATGTTTGGCTCCCCCCGCCAGGGATGAGTGCCCCAGGCATGAAGCTCTCTTGAAAACCGACACATTAATCTGCATCTCCATCTATCGGCGCGGCGGCACGAGAACTGCCCGGGAGGCAAGCTGAGGCACCACCGGGGGTTTGGCCACGCCTGCTCGAAGCCGTTGCCGGCGCACGTCGCTCACGGTAAATCCAATTGCCTGCTTTCAATTACTGACCAACAAAAATGACTCCCGCCAATGAATCGTCGGTGACGAACGGCACGTGCACCTCGCTCGCGAGCCCAATTTCTCCCCTCCTCTAAATGCAGGGGCACCGAGTTCGGGACTTCTGTCCGCAGAGTCTTTGCGCCCTCCCTCCCCGCGGTCGAGGGGTTAGCGCCCCCCCGTTTCAGGAGCCCGTGTTGAAAAATGCAATGGAAACAATAAAAAAAAAATCAAAAGAGAAGGATACCCTTCAGAAAGCGGGACACGTCCTCCAGCTGGGGGATGTTGTCGTCGCGGTAGCCGCAATGCTTCGTGAGCAGCGGCAGGTTCTTGAGGTACTCGCGGCAGGCGTGCGTCGGGTACAGCTTCGTGAGCTCGCGGAACACGGTGGCCCAGGTCCGCACCTCCTCCTCCGTGTACTCGATGCGAGGGATCGGCTCACCGCTGCAACGGCGAAAGCGGAAAAAACACACGGCCATCGCGCATTGCGTTTCACACAAATCTACCACCGTCGTCACGATCGCCACCACATCAGGGACGCCGCCGTGGTTTAAAGCGCTGGCACGCTAGATTTTGCAATGCAAAGGTCAGCGGTTTGACCTCTGGGCACGGCAAATTGAAACAGTGGGGTAAGCTTCGTAAAGCCCAACCACAGCCTCTGTCCACCGAGCGGTATGAACGGGTTCACCACATTGGTCAATCGGCCGGTGGCCGGTGGTGGGGTTAAAATCTGGGCACTCCCACCAACGTCCAAGAGGTCTGACCAGCATGGAAGAGTAGGCCAAATACCATATAGCGGGGCTCTCCAGAGCTCTCTCTAGCGGAGGCCCTTCAGCCAACAGTGGCATGAGTGGGTAATTGCAAGGCTGCACCTTAATCTTTAAGAATAAGGGTCTCAATTTTGCAACTTAAAAAAATAAGTGTTTCGATGCTTTGAACCGATGATATACATCGCAAGAGGGTCTAAGCCCTAAGGACAAAAATAACTGTGAAATAAATCATGGTGAATGAGTACAGCAGATAATTTGTACGTAAGCAATGATGAAAAAACAGTGAGATATAAAAGATTAGTGAAATAAATCCATTTCGATATTTTTAGATAAATCTAAAAATAACAATTGCTTAAACGGTACACATACACCTCCCAAATGATTACAAGATTACGTTCAAATCCATATTCACTTTGACGATGTGACGACTTTGATTATTCAATTTCATTAGATCAGAGCGCTCATTCCGAGGGAGGTGTGATTTATATAAAGAGGGTAAATTTTCAGATGGGATGTTTGGCCAATCATCGACTTGAGTATTTCCCGATGGGGGGGAGCTCTCCATTATATACAAACAAATAGACTTCTTCCATCTCTCCACATTAAAATAAATGTCTTAGATTTTCAACCTCTTGGCCATCTAGACTTTGTGTGAGCAGTCAGGCTGTGTTAAGAGAGACAATTACGTTCATGTCAAGGGCACTCCTTCTTTACAATGGAGCCATGATCAATATTTGTATGAAAAAAAAATCAATATTTGTATGAAAACTCATTATGCGCGGTTGTGGATAATTATTGAAAATGAAACAAAGATGGGCTGAAAACAATTGTATTTTGATATTGAGAGACAGAAGAAAGTCTGTTTGTTCAATGACAAACAATGCTGGATTTGTGCTCTGGGTCCTCCGGTTTTTCCCTCCACATTTAGGAACATGCATCTAGACCAGTGGTCGGTAACAGATGATCTGGATGCCGATCACCTGGTAATAAGCGCTCGGCCCTTTGCAATCAAGATGCCCACAAGCTGAACGCGCGCCCGCCTGCCCGTGCGGTAAAAAATAAAAAATAAACTCCATATTTCAAGAGCCGCTATGCAACGTGAAAACGAAACGGCGGTCCTTAATAAATAACGGTGACGAAGGAGTTCTTTAAAGAGCCACAGGCAGCTCCAGAGCCGCAGGTTGCCCACCCCTGGGCTAGATTATTTTAGATTATTATCTTGCTGCTATACATTTCCACGTGATAAGCCACTTCGTTGAGCTATCATGTGTGGCCAGGTCGCTTCGGAAAAAAGAAGCTTCTAGCTAAGTGGGCTTTACCTGGTAAGATAAAAAAGTAGTTTAGTTCCGTTTGTACATCTTTTTTCATTATTTGATCCTCATGGCGGTACCCCGGGGTTCCAAATAATACAAAATGGCCAAGACAATTAAGGGACACTATTTTTTTCCCAGGGGTGTACTTAACTCCGCGACTGGGGTACCAATCAATCCGAAATCAGTGCCACTCCGCGGTGTCGAAACGCAGCGAGGACGACTACGCTGAAACCCTGAGCGCTCGTACACACCGTGGCGGTGCATCGTGTACAGCTCGTCGAGATGAGTCGATTGCCGCATCGCCGACCATCAACAGACTAAAAGTGACTGCATCACGGACATTATGCGAGAGCCGGGGAACTATGGTACCCCGGTGTACAGCCATGAGGTTCATTTGTCTACCTTTCCAATACTTGGCACTCCTATCGTGTTGTTCTATTATTTTTTGTTGTAACGATCTGACCCGCCCCAATCGGACATCTGTAAAAAAAAGAGCTTTATAGCTCATCGGATTCTTCCAGCGTAAATTCATTTTCTGATTCTGATTCTGCTCCACAACAATGCATAATGAGATTGTAATAATATACTATACTACCTACCCACTATACTGCCATATACAGGACACCCCCTAGCCCCATGGGTCAGGAGTGGATCAGGTGTGAACTCATTGGGAGGGGCGACCCATTGACCCTGGCTTACCCCAGCCTGGCAAAATATTAGTCCATGGGCCCAGACCAAACATTTGAATTGTTATAGTAACAGGGTTTTTCCCCTTTTTTCTGGCAACAAAACTGAAACCTTTTTACAAGGATTCATATCTGCATTAACCACAATACCTGCAGTCAAAATGCAAACAAAAAACATACTAAATTTTGATTTAAAGCTTTCGTGACTGCAGTAATTCATATTCTTAGCTCTTTCGGTAAAGTCACGTTGAAGGGAAACAATAAAATAATAAAATATATATATAACAAGGGAATATAATATAATATAAAAAAACATACTATGAAAATATATGCATTTTCCTTGAAACTGATTGGTCCACACCAAGGGACGGCTTTCTTTTGAGCCTCGACCCAATTGGTGCTCGACCAGATGACATCCTTGTATAAAGGTTTCAGTTTTGTTGCCAGAAAAAAAGGGAAAAACCCTATTATTACATTTTGGAACTGGCAAAGGAGGTCTAATGATGTAGATGCTCACCCCGAGCCCTCATTACTTTGATAGTGCATTGTCTTTGAGCTGTACGCCTTTTGGCGTCATCTGGTCGAGCACCAATTGGGTCGAGGCTCAAAAGAAAGCCGTCCCTTGGTGTGGACCAATCAGTTTCAAGGACAATGCATATATTATCATAGTATGTTTTTTGTTTGCATTTTGACTGCAGGTATTGTGGTTAATGCAGACATGAATCCTTGTAAAAAGGTTTCAGTTTTGTTGCCAGAAAAAAGGGTAAAAACCCTATTATTACATTTTGGAACTGGCAAAGAAGGTCTAATGATGATTTGAATTGTTGATAACCACCCGAGACGGCAAACCTCGAGTTGTACTAACATCTTTAAACAGCCCAATAAAAGTGAATAATATTATTTTACAAGTACGCATTCACAACAATCCACACTTAATTGCCATATGCAGACGCTGGCATCCCTAAACATTTGCCACCATCCCGCCCGGCAGTGAATTCTTCCCTGGCCCACGAGCGATGTGGGATGCTGAACCCGCAACTGTCCCCATTGCTTGCGCTGCACGATGCCGGCAGCGGTGCTGATAAGAGGTGGGCAGCCCTCGCCTCGAGCGCGCCGATCAATCGCAGCGAACGCCGTCGCTTTGCCGCTATCTGAACTCCCAGCTCGGTGGCGTGTTGGCGGAAGCGTTTCGGATTTCGCGTGAAAAACGAAACATCCCGTGCCGGGCAGCCCTTGTATTGTAATGCTATTAAAAAGCACTTACTGCTTGTAGTTAAGTGCAATGTCCGCGAAATGCTTCCGTCTCTTGCGATAGACGTTGTCCTTGAAGCCCTGTGTGCACACAAATAAACGGTTGAAAATGCGTCGCTCTAACACTTTGCACTGATGCCATTCACTTATAAATGCCCATTCGTGTAAATGTCAATTTGAGTAAAGTGATAAAGGGGTTGAGGAAGTGATATCATCATCGCTTTACTGGCAATGAGAATAAGATCCTTTAGCCAGAAGGGCCTCGACTAAGCCCCAATACTCTTTTTAATGTGTGTCTAATTCCTCATTGAGCAATTAGTTCAAATGAGAGATGAAACCAGAGAGCCCGGAGGTTACTCACACTTACAAGGGGATTACGCTTTTTAAAAAATCCAAGCTTATCGGTCAGCAGCCTACTTGCTCTTCCGAACTCTACAGCCGACCTCAATGCCCTACAGGTGAGTGTCTCAGCTCTGCATGGACCACCAACCCCACCTACGATGTGCTGGATTGCAGGCGTGCACTGTCAAGTCGCACTTGTACATTGTTCAAACATAGCTAGCTGTCAGGCGGGCTTATTAAGAGATTTTTAAATGCTGCCCCAAATCAGTGGAGCTTCGCACTCCTTAGCAGCGTAATTACGTATAATGACGAATCTGCTAATCAATTAAATCACGTACATATTTAATTTTTTTAATTTAACTCGGGTTGCGATCTACCAAGACACAACGGTGCTTGCGAGCGGTGGTGCAGTGGTTAGCATCGCCGCGCTCTGAACCCGGCGAACGCCGGTGGTGAGCAGTATCTGAAGCAGTGAAGGCCTCCTCATGCTTCTCCACAACACCTCCCCGGTGCGGTGAAGCATCATCAATCAACCCCCACGACCCACATGATGTGGGGAGGCCTTCGTCCATCAGTCAATTGGAAGTGGGTTGATGATTATTATTTACATGATAGTCCCAAGCTACAAATTATGAACTAAATGTTCCCAATATGACGTAGCTCAATTCACATCTGGTACACATAGCGCGACTGTATTTCCTCTATTCGCATAAAAAAAAATACAGTTGAAATAAGCATTCAATCAACTGGCACAAACCAGCCACAGTCACACATCTCACAAACAACACATCATTAGCATGTTGGAAGGGTACTACCAACACCTAAAACTCATTTACTCTCATAAAACTCATAAAACCCTATGCAGCCAACGCAATCTAACATCGCCATCTGCTCAGCATATGGTCAACCCAGCCTCACAATGCTCCAGACTAATGGATTTGTGCCACATCTCGGTGTGCACCACATGGGCAGACAGACAGGCAGACGGGCGCATGGGCAGGCGTGCGCGCGTTCAGCTGGTGGGCATCTTGATTGGAAAGGCCGAGCGCTTATTACCGGGTGATCGGCATCCAGATCAGCTCCATACATGAGCACTTTGTTTGACGAATGATCGAGGTCAGAAATCTTCTTTGGGAACCAGGGCACGCCGTCAAGATCTGGAGGACAGAAGGTGCCGTCACAAACAGCAAAAAGCGTCAGAAAAAAAACGAGCAGGTCAAGCTAGCACGTGGGTTTTTGCAGTCGAAACTACAAAACTAAACTATTTTTTTTTATTTTACCAGGTAAGGCCCACTGAGCTATGTAGCTCTTTTTTTTAGAGGCAACCTGGCCACAAATGGTAGCTCAAAGAAGTGGCTTATCGCGTGTGGGAATGTGTAGCAGCCAAATACTCTAAAGGCGTGATTCTAAATGTGGAGGGAAAACACTGGAGGACCCTGATGAAAAAAATCCACGTGACCACGGGGAGAACACGCAAACTCCAAATATACAAGAGTCAGGGTCGGGATCGAACCCACGACCTCCTGTATACCAGGCGAGGTAGTTAACATCTCGCTACCATTTCGAGATGTTAACTGATCGAATATTTATCCGATTAACTACGTAAATCTTTATGCATATAAAACACGACTGGACATTAGGCATGCATTGACACAGGGATTCATCAACTGAAATATATTATTATGCTCATGATACGTAAAATTGCGCAAAGTAAAATTAATTAACGAAGTAGAATTAATTCATTAAAATTAAATATAATTATTAATTACGTTGTATTTATGCAAATTGTATGCACGATGTGTGCTGATGTTACATTTCGGTGAGAACGAAAAAACGGCACAAATGGGGACAGACCAATGAAGACACAACAACAATGAGATTGCAGTTTACAAATATTCAAACCATAAATCAAAACCGCAAATTACTTGGAGAGGGCGAATTTGTACTTGTCTACGATGGGAACCCTGTTCAACTATCAATATTGAGTCCGCACAGTGGCAAAGCATGACCCCAATTTGTGTAAACCTCCGGTGCCATCCACACGGACAATAAATTCCCGGCACAGCATGTCCAGAAAAAAAAATGTGGCTTCTGCAACATTTACATTCGTTTATCCGTTATCTCAGGAGCTCCCGGTTATGGGTAATGAAGGGGGTCGTTTATCGCACGCAATCAATCAGTGCTAGTCGAGCGCTGTAATCCCACTAATCGCTGCTAAATCGAGCCCCTTGGTATTGAATTTAATAATGACCACGTAGCGCTCCCTCAAAAACTGTGCGTGTGTGCATGTTTACCTGTGGGGAGTGGCAGTGTAGCGGTTAAGCGCACTCCGCTACCAACTCACTGACCCGAGTTTGATTTCCACTCGTGACCAACACCAGTGACAATTATTTGAACCGGTCCTAAAACTCCCCTAAGTTGACTAAGCCCCAAATAAGTGCCTGGTGCAGTGTGTAAACATCATCGCTGCGGGAAACAAAGGGGGCCAAGCGTGGTGTTGTCCACCCGTGCCGTGCCAGGCTTCATCAGTGCTCGCTAATGGCACTTGCCCCAACAGTCTGTTTAAGGCTATACAGGGTGGGGGGGATCTTTATCTTTATATCTGTACACACTTGTGTATTACAGAGCTGGCTTTAGTTGGGTAGACACATGCTTAGGCAATTGTCAACGGAGAGTAACTGAGGATAGCGGGGATGAGTGCCAAACATTGACTGAACAGGTGGTAAAGTAGCCCATGGATGTCACCGCTGAACTGTTTGCAAGGTAGCTGGTCCACATCGCTACCGCAGTCTCTCTGGGAGCTAGGGATGCAAAGAGGTTGGGCACTTACAGGATAGAACCTCGCAAACCGATTGCACTAGAACGAGGATTCCCTTTGGTCCAGCCTTTAGCAGCAACGTGTGACTTAAGAACAAAATGAACAAAGTGCACGGACACTCGCGAATGCACAGAGAGAGATATGAAGTGAGACAGGCATTCGGAGAAACGAACACACACAGAGACATGGAGAGGGACATAAACGAAAAGAGAGACGTTTCACAGAGAGACATAGAAACCAGACAGAAACAGAGCAAGAGACGCAAATAGATGCAGTGAGACACGTAGAAATATAAAGATAAAAAGGCACACAGACACACAAACGTGGAGAGATGTTGCCACCGAGAGACGCGCGGCGTATGAGAGACACAAAGAACACAGACAGACGAACACACACAAAACACGTTCTTTGCGATGCCGCTAAGCACGTGCGAGCCCTTGTTGCACACATTGCACACGTTTACACACGTTGCCCGCGCGGCACACGTGGTACAGGTGACGCACGTGGTACAGGTGACGCACGTGGCACTCGTGACGCACGTGACACACGTAACACACGTAACACAAGTAACACACGTAACACACGTGGTACAGGTGACGCACGTGACACACGTGACACACGTGACGCACGTGACACACGTGACGCACGTGGCGCACGTGACACACGTGACGCACGTGACACACGTGACGCACGTGACACACGTGACGCACGTGACACACGTGACGCACGTGACACACGTAACACAGGTGACGCACGTGGTACAGGTGACGCACGTGGCGCTCGTGACACACGTGACACACGTAACACACGTAACACACGTGGTACAAGTGACGCACGTGGCGCTCGTGGCGCACGTGACACACGTAACACACGTGACACACGTGACACACGTGACGCACGTGGTACAGGTGACGCACGTGACACACGTAACACACGTGACACACGTGACGCACGTGGTGCACGCGGCCAGAGCCAGGCCCCCGCGTGTATGGCTGTGACGCACCTTGGGGCCCCACGTCGCAGTGGCTCGCGGGTCCCGACATGGACACGATGTTGCACGCGTGCGAGCGCAGCAGCTGCATGAGCTCCCCCAGCTGCTCGCGGTTGCTGTCGCAGTCCACGTAGATCTCGAACTCCGAGTTGCGTCGCTTCGACTTGCGCGACTCGATGTGCATCAGGTTGACGTGCTTCTCCTGCACGGGGTGACGAACGGCCGCCGAGCGAGTCAACAGCTCGAATGCTACCGCACAGTCGAATGCCACGTAACGGTGCGAAAGAAGCTCAGTGCGCATGCATGCGTGCACACCGTCTGCCAACCGGTGTCTGGGTTTTTTGCGACCTCCTTCACGGTGATTTTTTTTCTCGTTTTGTTTATTGAGGTGGGCATCGCGCGACGTTTGTGGCGGGGTCGGGATCAGGTAAATCTCTGTAGCTCTGCCACAAGGCGATGTGGCCCTCGTGTGGACTGCCTCTGCAGCAGGGTCAAGATAGGCCGTTTGGGGCTGGCCCGTTGGTCAATTCACGGAGACTGCGATTTGTGTAAATGACGTGGGCCTTGGCCACTCTGCCGCGGTCTCGGCCACGCGGTGGTTGGTGGCACGGCCGAGGAGTGGTCGTCCTTTTGCCACTTGTTGCAGAGGTTCGTGGTTCCGAACCGCGTGGCCACCCTGGTTAATGCTGCGAGTGCATTAACCCCCCAAAAAATACCGTCGGCTTCACGGTGGACGTTCAAGATCCCGTGATGCTGCTCTAAAAATAGGCAGCCATGCGCGCCAGTGTCAAGAGCCAAGTTTTTGAAAAATAACCCCCAAATTACTTTCAGCGGGAGAACCGAACTGCGTAGCTGTATCCCACCCCCGCCCCCTACTGGCAGACTATACCCAATCTAGATTTGAAGTTTTCGTGACTGCAGGGATCCACACTCTTTGGTTCTTTCGGTAAAGTCACGTGGGTATAAAATAAAACGAATAAAAGAAGCAATTGCTTCAGAAATTGTTTCTTGCTGTGGTTGTCCCGACCTGATGGGCGGACCCTTGTGTTGCGCCCGAAACGTCGTGATTTAATCATTTTATTTTATACCTACGCGACTTTACCGAAAGAACCAAAGACTATACCCAGTTACAGGCCTGTGCTGCACACACCTTGTCCCGAGCTGAGAACGGCTACCACTGGGGTCCCCCCTTGGCTAAGCTGCTGCCGGGCACTGTAGCGGTTGACATGAGATGTTGGGACGTAAGGCGCTTTTGAGATGCCGAGGCATTTTGGCGCCCTGCGAGCGCGAATGCTTATCCCCGTCCTCACAGCCAGCGTGAACAGGCCCTCTTGAGCCTGGCCGACTTGCCGTGGCGTATAGAGCACTTGTTGAACACGTGGGATGGGCAATTTCCCTCACGGATGTTTGTAATTTGGGTTCTTGAATAAAAAAAAAAGTATAAAATAAAAAAATAAAAATATTTAAAAAACGTAGGATGGACAGTTTCCTTCATGGATGCTTGTAAGTTGGGATTTTAATTAACTAAAAAATATATAAAATAAAAAACGCAGGATGGACAATTTCCCTCATGGATGTTTGTAAACTGGGTTCTTGAACAATAAAACAAAAAAAAACGTAGGACAGTTTCCCTCATGAATGTTTGTAAGTTGGGCTGTTGAATAAAAACAATATATATCAAAAATGAAAAATACATGTAAAATAAAAAACGCAGGATGGACAATTTCCCTCATGGATGTTTGTAAGTTGGGTTCTTGAACAATAAAAAAAAAACGGAACAAAAAAATCCCGCAGGACAGTTTCCCTCACGGACCTTTGCATGCTGGGTTCTTGAACCCCAAAAAAAAATGAAACAATAACACGCGGGACGGACCGTGTTGTTTCCCGCTAACGGAACCCCGTTGTCGTCAGCTACGGCTGTCCGTGGGCCGCGCACGCAGCTGACTGCCCGCACCTGAAAGAGCTTGAGGGCCTTGACGAGTCCACCGATGTCGTTCTTGAGCGAGAAGACAACGGCGGCGCGGCCTCTCTCGCCGGAGCCGTTGGCCCAGCTCTCCTTGTTGTCCTCCTTCTGCCGCCCGTAGGCAGACTTGTTCAACTGTGGACAGAGGGACAGAGGGAGAGAGAGAGAGAGACCAACGGGTTAGGGGAACGACGTCGACTCGTGCACCGTGGCCTACCTTCCTCAATCGCGCTGCCCTTCGCGCATTGCGAAATGATCGGAAGATCAGGCTGAGCGACGCGCTCAAAAATCTACGGAAACGAAATCGCGTGGCCCAGCCTGGAGAGTGGACAACATCTATTTCATTGGTGAGTTGTGATTGCTTGCTTGGCAGATGGCCGGTTGGCAATGTCCTTTAAAGGATCAGCACAGTATTATTGATTCGTGTAGAGATTTGCATGATCAACACGCGACTATTAATGCACTGACAGACGTGTGTTCATCATTCCTCTTTTAATTCGATAACCTAGAGTAGCACACGAGCCCCTTCGTAGACAGTCACCTTCCCCGCACACGTGGGTCGTGTCTTGTTGCGGTGGTTTAGCGAAGGTTTACTGAGCTTTGGGCCAGATTCGGTAATTATCAAACAAGCCGGTAATACCGCAGTTAATTACTATTTCATCTGTTGGACGTCTCAATCTCCGGTTCCTCGGCAGTTATTTCCCCATGCCCATAATAAACATCCGGCATTCAAAATTATATTTTGTTCTAATCACAATTAGGCAATGGCACATTTAACAAATGCGTTTAATGGTAAACAACTAAACGTACAGCGATAAACTGCCGGGAATTGGGGCTTGTCTGCAGAGTGGCTGGATCGCAATTGCTGGCAATATGTTTGGTGTCCATTAAGCGCGATTATTCCGTGAGATAACGCACAAATTTGCAACCTAGATTTAGAACAGAACATTGCTGGGTCAAAGCTCACGCGAGGCATAGCGCACCCTCTGTCGGTGAAATGAAAAGGTTATCTTCATTGTATCGTGAAGCGGGAAGTTTCCACAACAGTGCGCAGTGAAAGATCTAGAAGCCGAAAAAGGGTGGCTCGAATGAATTCAACCCCCCAACGAACATACACATTGTTTCTGCAGGAATGATACAGGCAGGTTGTGTGCATGATGACTAAGTAATTGGCATCAAAATCTCACGTGAAATTGGTGGGAATCTTGACCTGTTGACTTATAATCCAAACTAGCGTGCGTTAAAAAAAACAAAAAAAACGCCACTTTTTTCAAAATGTCTTGCTGTGGGTTTCACACCTGTTGATGATTGCTTGTGTTACAGTCGAAACGTCGTGAGAATTTTATTGTTTTATTTTTTTATTATTTTATTGTTTCCATTCTACGTGGCTTTACCGAAAGAACCAAGAATATACAGCGTGCGTGCGTTTAGTGAAATAATATACGTGTGCGTACATGAACGTGTTTTTTTTTTTGCGGTATCGGGCACACTCTTCTCCTCGCATAGCTTCCTTGCCTAAACCCAGCTTCATAGGGACGCAGCCACCGCACGTTCACTGACCCCTCAATAAGCGCACGTCAGAGGCAGCGACGTCTCTCAGCAGCAAAACGCAGACGCGACCCATCATCACAACGACCCGCACGTCGGAATGCAGTAACGCGCTCGTGTTCACGTTCGGCTTGGCCGCGTCGAAATCATAATTGACACTAATGCGCTGATGGTCATTAATAAGCCAAGCCCGTGTGTCCGCGACATTTTTTTCCCGAAACGGACGCAATCGGATTAGATTTCCGGAAATCGTAACCGCGCCAACGCATCTCGCCGTGCAATAATTGCGGGGGTCCAGTAAGAGAGGGGGCCCTCGTCATGAAGAGGGGCGAGGGCCCCCCTCTTGTTGATAGCGTGTCATTATTTTATTACGCATTTTTGTTTGTTCTGCAGCATTAAGCGATCAACCCAGATTGTGTTCCTGGCACGCGTGCCGAAGCTGCCTATGCGTTTGCGCAAATCTTTATCCGATTTAACCAGTATGACATCTGGATGGCCTTTATTTTTTTACACGGTGTGTGTCTGCGTATCATCTGCATGCAACGTATGGGTTATTGAATCCCCATGTCCAATCGGATGGCTTGACCCTACAGCCAATTTGATGGACGTACAATATAACATTTTAGTTAGCTGTCCTTCCCCCCCCCCCCGAAACCTCCGATTAGCACCGTTGGCGTAAAAAAGTTCAACATACATACATCAGGTGCGATCGTTCATGTACCGATGCCAAATGTTGGTTGCTGGTGCGTCCCAGTTAAAGAGCGTTGTTATGAAGAGCGACGAGCAAGCCACCGAACGCGTAATATCGAGATGGACGCAGCGTCGCTAATCGAGTTAAGTCTAATAAGACGATTAGACACAACGACAAAGATCCCCCGTCTATCCATTACCGGACCGTTGGGCCAAGTGCTGTTCGAGGGAGTGGGTGGCCAGCACCACGTCCGGCCGACTTTGTCTCCCCAGTGGCAATGTTTACACACCGCACCGAGTACTCATTTGAGGCCGAGTCAACCTAGGGAAGGCCCAGAACCGATTCAGATAATCGTCGCCGGTGTTGGTGGCCTTGAGCGGGAATCAAACTCGGGCGGCCGGGTTCGCAAGTGCAGCGCGCTCACCGCTACTGCTACCCTACCGCTCCCCGGATGAGACGATTACAAATGCGCGCACAAACACACACGCACACAAGCTCGCATGCACACACGAACGCCTTCATTTCTTTGCTCGAGTGCACTTTACTTGTGACCCCGTGCAAGCATGAATACGATCTCACGCCGGTAAAACCTCACGGGGTTTAAAATGTTGCCCGTGGGTTATTTACCGCTGTTATTGTTACTGAAATAACACGCGATGGACAGCGAGCTATTTACGTCGTTCTTCGACTTTCAAGGTAATATCGGAATAAACAACTGTTGTTGAATAGTAGCACATGGTGTAATTATTATTCCATTGCATAGTTTTATATTTGTAACCCCTGTAGGTTCTGTTATAAACATCAAGCATGGTTAAATATTCAACTTCAACACATGTGGAATTAGATTTCGTTTGCCGTTGCCAAATCACACCAACATTTCTTCACGCAGTATTATCAAATACTGAATATGTTTGACAATAATTTGGATGTATATCGTATAAATATGCGAGCACATCTCAATTCGCTGTTATGAATTAAAATAAAAAAATAATACAAACAATTACAATTTAAAGCACGTTGTCAATCCGCTAAAGAGAGAATGACGAACTAAACTTTGTCGTTCATGGGTGTCGTTTGACCATACTGAACCACACCGCTTAGTGCAGGTTAGTAAAACGGGGCCCCGGACTCAGTTCTGATATCACTCGCCACTGATGTCAGCCGTGGCTGGGAATTGAACTCGGGCGACTGGGTTCATAGCGCAATGCATGGAGCACTGGGCCAAAGCGTTCAACTCTGCATATGCAAAGATATATCTGATAATAAAAGTAAGATTGAGATTTCCCAGTGGTATTTTGGTATCAGTATGAACATTTGGTTTTTGTATGTGCGTTGTAGTGGCTCAGCAGTTGAACGTAAAACCACAAAACTTGAATAAAGAGTCGATCGTTATTTTTTTTATCAAATAGCCACGCAATTGCTGACTTCAATTTAAGTCAAACGGTTGGCACGCCAAATGTAAATAACGTCTGGCTCATTTAATAAGCTTCTGTATAATTTAATACAACAGCAGTGCGTTAACGTCTGCGTCGACATTACACGACTGCCCTGACCTCGCAGTAAAGTCTGGCAGTGAGGCAACAAAGGATACATCATTGATCGCTATTCCCTTGCAGCCCAAGAGGTCTCAAAATATGACGCAAGCCGCGCACGTACCAGCAAATTTAACTTTGGGCCAATTCCGTGCGGCATTTTACATCAGGGTCACGGTACAGCACAAAGCAACAAAGCATCACTGCGAATATGAGTGCACGTCAACAAACTCTAACCCAGCACTGATGCGCACCGACAAAGTGAGCGTCCACGCTGCTGGTTAATCCTGATACGTACCTCGTTGTGTAGTTGTTTCTCGCCAAAGTTAGTGTTGACCGAGTCAAACGATCTTCCCCGTTTGGGCCCATCGTATTTGTTCGAGTACATCGTGCTGGTTTTGTCGCTCTAAATCAGCCTATATATCTGTACGTATGCACGTACGCGATCGTACACAAAAAAACGGCACGCGAATATAATATAACGGGGGTGGGGTATTTTAACGTGAAGATTGAAGAACCGAAAATTCGCGCCTTTCGCTCGGAGCGTTGCAGGAGTGGAGAGGCTGGGAGCGTTGCGGTGGAACAGGCCGTCGGTGGGTCTGCGTTGGCGCTCGGCGCCTCGCATTTATACGGCGAGACGCCCGAGCAGAAGGGTTGATCCGTCCGCACGCCCTGGGCTCCCCACCCACCCACCCTGACGCACCCCTCTATCTCCCCCCCCCCCCAAACTACCACCCACACACCACCCTCCTCCCCCTCAACGTGTAAAACCATCAAAGACTCCGGGGGGGGGGGGGGGGAAAGATTGACGTAGGAAATGACGCTCGAAAGGCGCACGACGACACGTTTCGGAAATGTTTTTTACGAGGAGTTAATGGTTACGCGTAACTTCGTTTTTGAAATTAGGGGAGTCGTGGTCAACATTTGGGGAATGAGATAATTCTGGCGTTTGGATGACTGTCGTTGGGATTAATGCGTCAGGATTTATATTTGGAAGTCTTCCGATTTTAATAACGGCCGATTGATCAGATCTTAGTCTGGTCGAGTCACTCTGATCATTGTCTCATCATCAGCCAATGTCTATCCACCGCTGGATGAAATACTTCCAGCGCAACTGCCACGTCCCATGCTCCTGCGATGCCAAAGCCCAGCTCAGTCCCGCACACAAACTGATTCGAGCACTCCATCTTCGCGGTGGTTGTATTTTCACCAGTGGCTCAGCAACAAAGCGGCTCGCAATAAGAAGGTTACGAGTTCACATCCAGGTTGGCAAGTCCAGGATGGCAAGTACCACTGTGGGGAAAGTGATCAATGGATGTCCTATGGGATAAACTTGTCCCCACCACAAGCATGTGGAATTTCCACCACTCACGGAGAGCTGCAAAAAGCAAGTAGGGCACGGGCTCAATGCTAGTTTGAGCAAGACGTCACTTTGATTTGATGCGAAGCGAAATGCTCCCACGCTATTTTCACGTGTAATGTATGCAGCGCTCGTTCAATATATGCCCAAAAACGTACCACCACAGAGCGTTACGTAAATAATGCTTGCGTTTTACGATGAGCACATGGCAATAGACATTGACAGACATATGAAGAAGGTCCGTTGCCCCGAGACATCACCTGTTATATATTTTCCCAATGTAACGTGTTTCATTTTACCACAACCTGCCTTCCTTCAACAGTTTTACTGCCAAGTATTTAGATGTAATTTTTTTTTTTACCAGGAGATAATCAGCTCGCAGAGACACAGCGCATATCCGTCGAGCGAGAGCAGAATGGAATTGAGGTGCCGGCGAGCGTGGGGTGTGCTTCGGCCGGCTGACGAAGAGCTGGGTTGGAATACGCGGATGAGGTGGCGGGGTCTACAACGGGGCAATGTCCGTCGACCGATTTTGAACAACGCAGCGCGCGCAACGTTGGTGGCTGTAACGCGCTCCACTTTGAGTGCGGAGGTGGTGGGGGGGGGGGGGGTGCTCTAAAGGTTAACTTGTGAGAATATAAGAATAGGTTTTACTCTTTCTGACAATACAAAAGGTGTTAAGATGTTCAAACACCAAACAGATAACTTTGTGCATTAATCACACGTACTTGTGGCAAAACATGGAAACAAACATGCTCTCATGATAATAATATACACATTGTCTTTGAAACTAACTGTATGGTCCTTGTCGCACCAGCGTTAGACCAGAGAATGCCAAATTGCGAACAGTAGAAGGACAATTCAAGTATCAGAGCACTCATGGCTCTGGTCGAGCAGTTATATCTACGGGACGTTTTTTTTCCAGATTGCGAGAATATGTAAAGGATTACAAACTAAAATTATAACGATGGCAGGTGGTGGTGGTGGTGGTGAGGTGCCCCACCCAGCGAGCGAGTTTGCACGTTTGTCCACGTGGTCGCGTGGATTTCATATCCGAGTCATTCGTTTTTCCCCTCCACATTGAGAAACATGCATTAAGATTATTTAGATAATTTTGGTGCTATAAATGTCCAAACGATGGGCCACTTTGTTGAGCTATCATTTGTGGCCAGCTCGCTTCTGAACAATAAGTTAATACCTCAGTGGGCTTTGCTTCGTCGGATGGGAATGGTTTAATTTTATTTTTGATGCGTTTGGGTGCTTTGTTTACCTTTCATTGTACTTTGCACCGACTATCGTGTGTTTGTGTTGTTTGTTGTTGTAGCGTTCTTACCCACCCCTACTGGACATCTGCGAACAAAAAGCTTTATAGTTAATCGGATTCCTCCAGTATAAATAAATGTTCTGATTCTGGATATGCGCCCTCTCATTCACGGGCGACGTCACATTTGCCCGTGACGCCATTCAAAAAGGAGGAGGACATTTGCTGTTGCCGTTGAACGTGCTCCTATTTTGCAGGAATCGGAAAATTATTATTTTATATTTAACGAGAACACATAGCAGTCATCATCGATGCCTCCTGCATAACTTGACAGGATCCTCCTGGAAAACAATCTTGAGACTCGATGAGGCTCTCCTAGGTAAACGAGCGTAGTCATAATAATAATAGTAACAAATATAGGGCGTGTGACGTGGGTGTTTCTGTGAGGGGCGGAGAGTATTATGGATAATATTGGTGGTAAAAGCCTCCGTGTTAAACAAATAGTATTTGCCTGCTGTCTTTGCGCACGATTATTTTGTGTTCAGTCAATTCCCGAATGCTTGTTTTTTGTATGTGATTTGTACTTGTACAGATAAAAAATATATATTTAAAAAAACCCACGCAGCCAATTGAGGAACCCAGTTGCTGCCCCGTTCACCAGTTGGCCACGTGACGGCTCTGCGGGTTTGGAGCGTGTCACGGGCGCTCGATGACATCGACAACGATCCTGAAACCGACCCTCAAATCTTGCCACGAAACGTCGGGCCTCACAGGAGCGCAGCAGCACCGCTAAAAGTTCGTTCCGCCACTCCGGGCGAGAACTCAACGAGGCCGCGGCACGAGTCATCGTCGTCACGATCCATGGGGCAGATAGCCCGGAGGTGTCCCCTGCGCATTTCGTTATTTGTTTCCACTTTCCTCTTTTGTCTTGTGCCAATATGCTCAAGTAGTGCTGCATCTTTCTGGCAGCAATCTCTGATGTCGTCGCCAAAGCCGTTCTCTGTTAGGTCTTCCTCTCTTTCCAGTTCCTCTCATTTTTTCCGAACAATAAAACATTTTTCATTTTGCTTGTTGTTGTCCATCCTACATACGTGCCCAAATATAGTGCCACTTTCCCTCTCATCACTGCCTGCGTCGGCAGGTCTTCTTCTGTCTTACTTCTACGTTGGTATTATTCCAACTGAATAACTTGCGAGTAATTTTATAAACGTCATTCGGACCGCGACGCCGGCACACACTGGGGCCTACTCTTGAAAAGAATGACAAGGGATCTTTAACGTCCCACTGTGAAGCAGGCGGCACCAGCTCACCACATGGCTGGTGGTTTCCCGCTCAGCTGCAGTTCATTGCACCTCTGAGTCGCTTTCTCTCTCTCTCTGCGAGAGTAAACAAATAATGCGCGGCGACACGTCACAAGTCGAAATTATCACAATTTACTGCAGTTGTTGCACCCACAGTGATAATCAGGGCAGCCAGCCGGATTCGAACCGTGAACCTTTGAAAACAGGTGCCAAAAGTGTCACCGGCTAGGCCAGGTCGCCGGTCACGTGCGAACGAGTGCGCGATGTCGGCCAATAAAGGTGGTGGGGGGGGGAGTTGGGGCATTTTCCTGAACCGTCAATTCCCACGTGACATCTTGGGATCAACACAGGTGGAATGTTTGCTGGGTCACTGCCGGCGGTACCCACCGGGGTCAGAGACACGGGACGCAACGACGCTGCGGTCCCCCGGTCTGCTTGACGTGGCACTGCATCGTTATTGCCTTGCTGGGGTTTCCTTCGCACAGCTGAATTCAAAATCATTACCGGAAGTCACCCCTCCCCCACCACCACCCCCACACCGCTGTCATGCATAGTCAGATAATAGAAACTGGCCACAATAAGTAATATTTAAAAAAACTTTTTTTTAAACACGCTTTTATGGAATGTACTCGTAATGTCAGAACTCCACGACTCCAGGAAGTGGCCCCGAACGTAAGGGACCGTGGTTAATTACAGCCAACGTCAATTGACAATTCGACACAAGCCGAAACACAACTTATTAAAAATAATGTTTACAAATATTTTTTGTATGATAGAATATAGTAATGTCATCAGTATGACATAAGTATACCAAGTTTGCAGTCGAAACCACATTGAGAAGCGGGTTAAAATTGAGTTACAAGATTTGAGGATACAACAATGACAACAACAACAGAGTGAGTTAAAAGAAAGCGTGTAATAATAAAATGCTCAAATCTTTTGGTTACCATTCCTTTAAGATTCACCAAAGCTAATTTCCTGTGCTTTTATTTCCATACATACTGTGGATGGAGCGGGTGACAGTGTGGTTAGCGCATTGCTCTATGAAACCCAGCGACCTGAGTTGGATTCCTGGCCACGTTAAACATCAACGGTGATATCTGAAATACTCCTGGCCCCCCACCTGTTTTCAAAACCCGCAATGACCAGAGTGGTGAAGTATGGTCAAACTATCACTATGACTCACGTGGCTTGGGGAGGCATTCATCCAGTGAGAAAAGGGACAAAGGGCTGGGAATTATAATGTGTCATACATTTTTGCACGAATAAAAATTGCAATAACAGTACTGTAAGCTCATTGGCCAACACTGGAATTAATCATGACCAGGATCTGTGATGAGTCAAGCTCCGAGTGATTGAAGGCATGTGACGCTGGTTAACAGGAAATTGAATATCATGTTTGTGTAATTGCACTGTTATTTTTATTATGCAGAGAAATATCGCCTGTTATAGGAAGATATAATTACAGTTTGGTAAATTCAGGGAATAATTTCAGCTGGAGCTGTCTTGGAAAATATTCTGAGGTTTTAAGTGCTGGGTATATTTCTATGCTTATAATTAAATTTTAAGGCACATTTTCAGAGTAGTTGTGCTGGAATGAAGGCTTATAGAATGCTATCCCTGCAAACTATATGCTGTATCTCAACGGATTATATAGAGGTACAAATATTTATATGAAAACAAACTACAGCTTGGCAATAACTA